ATTGCTTTGGATCGTTATGGATGATCTCAGAAACTCTTGCGAGGTTTGAAAACGGGTATTTTGGGTTTGAGAGTTCTTCACATGATGTCTTGATATCATTGAAAATTTTCGTCAAAAAATACACAACATTTTTTGATTATATGTATTTCTCTGGAAAGAACGGAGGAACGCTAAAATCAAGGACTATTCGTTCATTGTCGTTGAATATAAACTCTGAATCTTCAAAAGTTACGATTTTTTCTATTTTAGAAAATATAGGCAATTTTTCTCTATTTCTTAAGGGAAAATTTTCAGCTTTTCAAAGGAGTCCTGATTTTCAGTTCACCGTATTGGGTAATCTCATTCCAGGTGGCGCCGAAATTTAGGCTATTGTAAACAATTGTTTTCTCAAAAGCGTTCCATTAAAAAAATTGGTTGTCTATTAATAGAGCAAAGTAGCTTATGACAAAAATGACGGAGGGTTCATTTCTATGAAATCGTCGTTTTTGAAACTTGCAAATAGTTGGCAAATAACTGGAGACAGGTAAGATGTATTCAGCAATTTCTTCCCATTTTTTTCCAGAGGTGTTCAGACATCATACCGCGTGGGGTTTCTTTCAATTCAGTATGTCATTCACATTCACTTCAAAACATATTAACTTAACTATTTAAAATTTAAAGAGAATTCTTCTTTTTAATTATAATTTTAATTTGACACTCGGTTTCGTTTTCATTTCTGCCGTCATAAATAGGTGTTATGGCCCATAATGTCCTGTTTCTGGCATCCCATTTTAGAAGAGACAGGATGGCTCTGATTCTACAAACGCCAGTGTGCCGAGCGCTCGACGGTTCGCCTGCGACAATGGTTCAAGAAGGAAACATTTTTTCCATCGAGATAATGACGCTGGGCAAGGGTCAGAGTTTCAAACTCAGCGATTGAGGACCAGCACTAATTTGATTAGCCTTATCAAAAATGGTGTACATAATGCATCGTTCGTTTGCGTGGTGCTAGAACCCCCACGCGAACGCAACTTAAGTTATGGCCATTCGCCAAAATCCCGTCGCATAGGAAAACTCGCCCTTTGGGCGCAATGACCTAAGAGGAACCGTTTGTGAGAAAACGATTGCCCCCCCCCCCCAAAAAAAAAAGTTGACAAAAAAATGAAAATTCATATTCTTTTATGAAATGTATTTCAACCTTAAATACGTTAAACTACTTTCATGTTGTTAATATTTCGATAATGAAATGACAATTTACTTTTTAACAAAAGCAAACGGGGTTAATGAGTTTTATTCTACAGATCATCGAGCGTAAGTGAAGTATGAATATGTTCTATAGACTCCTTTCCTTGGCAGGGTGATCGCAGACGTTTGCCTTTGCCTTTCCACATGATGGAAAGGTGGCCAACTGGTTGTGAGGAGAAAATGATAGCGATAGGAAAGATAGATATGACGATGAATGCTCAGGATGCAAGCTTGGTGGGAATACAAAATGTCAACCAACAAGAACAACTGTTCCTTTAGAATACCCTGTCATTTTCTATGATCGAGTCGGGAAGCCATATGAAGCTATGGGAGTAATCGTAGAACAACATCCGTCTGGGGTTGACACTTTCTCGTGATTACCCTATCATCTTGTTTCGTTATCACATTGGACGGAAACGCACGTATGACACCAGTGAGAGAACGCGAGGAAAGCGCCATTTTGCGGCACTTTGCTATTGCCCGGCGTATCTATTATCTTTTATTTATTCAAACTGTCGTCCCAGAAGGGCTTCATATGTTCATTTAAAGAAAAACAAAATAAACATTCGACAATACATTACATGTGGGTCACCGGTTTCGGTTCAGGTACTGTATGTGCATCTGGAGATGTTTTCTTACTTTAATTTTAGTCAGGAGAGCAAACATTGGGTTTGATGATAATATTGCTGTTACGTTACGGCTTAACGTGAGAATTTCATTTTGATGCGGAAATTCATGGTGTTTGGTCATAGACTTTTGCATATAAAGTTGGAAAATTAAATCGAAATATTCTGGGAAAAATAGATGGATTTAGTGCTCGAGATGGAACTACATTGTTGGATAACCAGATCCCCTATGTAATTAAGGGAGTCCGTGCGCAAACCCGAGAGCGTTAAGTAATTTTTCTTAGGGCTTATTTAACAGAAATCGGAGAATTTTGGCAACACTGCGGGTACAGCAAAAGAAGGAGGTGAGCACGGGGAAAGGCTTTCACACTGTTATATGGTGGTCAGCGA